CAGAAAAAGACTATATTAGAAAAGCAGGAAGTGCTTCAGTCTACTTCAGCATCAAAAGGGAAGGGGTGAAAATTAATACCAATCAGTGTTTTCCTGTAGGGAGTCAGATGATTCCGTGGGATTTTGAGAGCATTCCCAAAGGTCTAATTGAACAGGAAGACTCACGCTTGCTGCCAAAAAAGTCAGCAAAATGGTTGTTGAAATCCACAACCGGCTTACAAATGATAGCAACAGTAATTATTTTATAGTTTTAATACTTATGCATTCCATTCTGAAAAAACTCCCAGATGAGATCTCTTTTTCCATTTGTTTCATGTAAATTTTGCTTTTAGTTTCAGAGGACACCCCTGCTGCTTCTGTGTGGAGAGAAACCAAGACAGCACCTGAGTAACACCAGGAAGTGAGTGCAGCCCACAGGCCTCACTTCTGCTCTGTTCCAGAATATCGGGGGGGGGGCGGGGACAATTGGACGGCCACATGGAACAAGGAGTAAGAACAAGAACACAAATACAACCCAGCCTCACCTGCGAGGACCCAGGCAGTAAAACTGAGGAGACCAACCGGCCCCACGTGTCACCTCCTCCCCCTTGATGTCCATGTCCTCTTTTTAAATGACTTCATCTTCACTAAGGTGCTGGCCTAAGATATCCCTTTTCTCAGAAAAAAAAAAAAAAATCATGTTTTAAAGAAGAACTCTTTGAGAACCCAACTAATTTTATTATGCCAATCTCTTAACCAGTCTATAACTAGCCATGTAACCTTGAGCGAGTCAGCCTCTTGGGATAGATATATCCTGTGTATTGAGGATTTGGGTCCAAAGGAACATTTAGGATCCTTCTAGCTTTAAAATTCTCTTTTCTAATAGTGAGATAGTTGTTGATGGCAGATGAGGGGAAAGCCACTTTTTTGGCAGCTGACCAGTATGGGCATCCAAGCTCTTGATCTTGGTGTTATCACATTGTGCATTGTGCTCTAACCAACTAAGCTAACTGGCCAGCCAGGAAGGCATTTTTTAATGAGGGACTTGATCAATTTCTTCTTGTCTACTGTAAGTCTACATGGCTTACAATGATTATATAAACTCATATAAATGATTATATAAGACATTGGCTTTGAAAATTGGAAATGGCATAGTGATAATGGGAGGGAAAAGAGAAAGTTTCAGGATTCTCTATATTGTTTATATATTTTCATGTAGCATAAAGCTACATAGTTTATCAGAAGTTATCCATAATGTAATGATAGCAAGTCATACTTTGGTTGTCAAACTGAGGCACTTCTGTCGACATTAAATAAAATAAACAAAATATTAAATGCACAGAGAAATACTCATTACCTTTACAGTCATTATATGCCAACTCAGGTTCCTCCTTGAGGGTCTGGCTCCCCAAGAAAGGAATGTCACCTAGTGTGATAGCTAATTTTATGTGTCAACTTGACTGGGCTGAGGGATGTCCAGATAGCTGGTCAAACATTATTTCTGGATGTGTCTGCGAGGGTGTTTCTGGATGAGATTAGCATTTGAACTGGTAACCTGAGTAAAGATCACCCTTACCTATGTGTGTGGGCATTATCCAGCCCACTGAGGGCCCAAATAGAACAAAAAGCAGAGGAAGGGCAAATGTGGTCTCTCTTTCCTTGAGCTGGGACATCCATCTCCTCTGTCCTTGGACTTCAGAGTTCCTAGTTCTCTGGCATTCGGACTCCAGGACTTACACCAGCAGCTCCCCCCAGCCTCACACACACACTGGTTCTCAGGCCTTCAAACTCGAGCTAAATAACGCCACCAGATTTTCTGCTTCTCCAGCTTGCAGTCAGCAGAGAGTAGGACTTCTTAGCCTTCATAATCATGTGATCCAATTCCCATAATAAATTTTAAAATTAATAAATAAATATACTAATACCCCACACACACACTTCAAAAAGTTCATGGTAAAATGGAATTAGAAGATACA